GTTGAGTGGGAGTGTTGAGGAGGGTGGGCAGGCTCTGCAGACGGATCTGGACAGGCTGGATCGATGGGCTGAGACCAACGACATGAGGTTCAACAAGAACAAGTGCCGGGTCCTGCACTTTGGCCACAACAACCCCATGCAGTGTTACAGGCTGTAGGAAGAGTGGTTAGAAAGTGGTCAAGCAGAAAAAGACCTGGGGGTGCTGGTTAACAGCCAGCTAAACATGAACCAGCAGTGTGCCCAGGTAGCCAAGAAGGCCAACAGCATCCTGGCTTGTATCAGGAATAGTGTGGCCAGCAGGACCAGGGAAGTGATCGTCCCCCTGTACTCAGCACTGATGAGGCCGTACCTCGAGTACTCTGTCCAGTTCTGGACCCCATACTATGAGAAAGACCTTGAGGTGCTGGAGTGAGTCCAGAGAAGGGCAACGAAGCTGTTGAAGGGCCTGGAGGGTCAGTCTGATGGGGAGCGGCTGAGGGAGCTGGGGTTGTTTATCCTGGAGAAGAAGAGGCTGAGGGGAGACCTGATCGCTCTCTTACAGCTACCTGAAAGGAGGTCATAGTGAGGTGGGGGTCAGGGTCAGGCTCTTCTCCCAGGCAACCAGTAACAGGACAAGAGGGCATTGTCTGAAACTGCGCCAGGGGAAGTTCCAGCTAGAAATGAGGAGGCATTTCTTCACAGAAGGGGTTGTTAGGCATTGGGATGGGCTGCCCAGGGAGGTGGTGGAGTCACCATCCCTGAAGATGTTTAAGGAAAGACTGGACATGGCACTTAGTGCCATGGTCTAGTTGACATGGTGGTGTTAGGGCAAAAGTTGATCTCTTTCAACCAAATCGATTCTGTGATTCTGTGAAAACATTTACAGAGCAGTATCTTTGCAGATCAGTGAAGCAGGAGCACATCTTAACCTACTTCCAGTTGTGCTTTGGTCATTCATGCTAAAGCGAATTAACACTACCTCAGCTGCCTATGTGCAAGTTCATGGCAGAAACAGCGGAGTAGCCAGTGTGTCCTCAGGTGCTATAGTTCATGACCTAAAGTTTTATCTTAATAGGTGGCTAAGGGGTAGACTTATCCTACACCTGCTGGCATCTATTCAGAGCTGCATGTAGTCCGTTGAGCACACCAACCTCTGACTTGCTTCTTCACTTCTTGGATTCTAAAAGCCCTTCAGTAGCAAAAATAAGAATCTGCTGACAGATTTAGTACAGGGCTTTATGTATGTTTTTCGTGTAGTTCATGCATGAGAGAAAGAGGGGTATGTCTGTTCCCTTAGATATCTTCTCCGCTGGTTTTCCTGTCAGTTCTCATCAAAAGTAAAAACATTAGAGGATTTTGCTTCATTTGGAAAACCAGTGCTGGGCTTCGCCCCTCTGATCTGGGCAATGCATACAGGTGATCTTGCTGCACAAAGGTTGTGGCCCTGCTTGAAGGCTGTTGGAAATGCATGCAGTGGTTTTGCAGCCCTAGGTCTGAGGTTTGAACATTGTAGTCTATTGAGTCATTCCTTGTTGTAAAGACCCTTTTCCATACCTTCAGTTACTTCAAACCCTGTTCTGCTGGTTTTTTACACTTTTTAATTGTTCTTTTTCTTTTTGATGATGGTAGGTAAAACAGAACTGTATAGTGTCCAAGATGTCAACACCTAATGGATTTACCTAGTGACAATGCTGATGCATTTTATTCTGTTTACTTTCAGTGGTTTTGGTTGCCATTGAACTTCTATCTAACGCTTCCACAGAACTAACTAATATCAGCCCCAAGATCTTTTCCCTGGGTGGAAAGAGCTGGCTCAGAGCCTGTTGTGCGTGTAAAGCTGGGTTGATTTTTTCACTTTAGCTTGTTGTTTCAGATTTATCTGCAGTGAATTTTATTTGCCATTTTATTATCCCATCAGGGTCATGAGTTCCTTCTTATCTTTTTCTTCTCCAAACAGAAAATAAAATTTGTTCTAATTCTGTACTAGTTATCTGGATAGATTAATTCATGTTCAGGAAGTATTTCATGAAGTGAACATTGTTACCTTTTGTTCTGTGTATCACAGTGTAGTTATAGCAGTAACAATGATTGTTTATAGACAGATTTTAACACTTGAACTACATGACACAGAATTCTGATTTCATATTGTGTTGCTCTGTAGGCTTAACGTCTAGATCAAGTGATCATTTTGTCATAATAGCTTTTGTTCTCATTTTTAATAAATATACTGCTAGTCATCTATTCCACGTACAAGGCATACCACTGACCGGATGCAAGCCATTTCAGAATGGTTGTGCAGCCTAGGTCAGAGTTGCAAATCACTGTTACACAGTCTTTCTTGGTACCTGCGTTGTGTCATTCCTGCATCCCCTCCAAAAATTAAGCCTCTGTATATTGAATAAGTAGAAATGTACATATGATATTTGAAGTTGAAATAATCAGGCAAAGTTTTGGAAATGAACTGTGCACATTCATATTTCCTATTCCCATTTTCTTACAAGTCCTGCTTGCTAAGTATTTCTGGAGGGGAAAAAAGCAATCCAGAAGATACTATTAACCTAGCTAGTGCTGTCCAACCTGGACCAGTTCACCTGTCTTGGAGTACAGATATTCGTATGCATCCCAACATGGATTGTTTATATTTTAATGTATAGAAAATTGACTTGGTTATAGCTATGACAGCATTAAAGTTCTAGGGACTAAAGACCTAAAGAAAGATTTGGGCACCTGATTTTGTCTTTTCCAGCTATGCTTATCTAAATATAGATAACACCTTTCTCAGTAAGCATACATCATCAGGGTTGTTCTGTGCTTACTCCAGAATGCTGCAAATTCTTGTAGATTAAGCCTGTTTGCTTCTATTTTGTGTGTATTTTTTCTAATAGAAAATAGTGTTAATCAGTTTATGCTGTTTATTCAGCAAGTTTTGAACAGCAATACAGGAACTGACAGGGTACTTCATTCTGCTGTCATTTGGAGAAATTCATAGTAATAAACTAAGTGCTGGGAAACTGTCTTATTACAGAAAATAACATTTTTCTGTTTAGAAGGTTTTCTGAAAAGTTCTGAAGGTCAGATACATTTGGGGAACAATTTAATATTTATTAGACTAAATTCCCCAGAGGTTCTAATATTTGCTTGTTAAAGTTTTTTTGCAAAACATTTCCTACATGAAAGTGCATGCAATTGCACTGGCTGTTTACAAGATATTTTTCCTGCTAATCCTGATGACTTTCTGTAGTGCTATTACAGTGAATGACTAATGGGTAAGGGCTTTCTAAGGAGACTTGCAGTGACCAGATCACTGGTGATCTCAGGCTCAAATTTCCCATTTGATGAGACAGAAATAGCTCTCTACTAGACTGTAGTTTTAATACATAAGATGTGCGTCACAGCTACTTGCTGTAAAATCTAGTAATTGAAATGTGTTTTTAAACGTGATAAATCATTAACTATATTAGCTATTCTTCTTCCAATCAAAAAAGCATTTTCCTTACTTTTGCAGAGCTGCAGGTTGTATGCTACAAAACACTTGCGAGTATTACTGAGAGCGAATGTAGAGTTCTTCAGTAACTGGGGGATTGAGTTATTGGTGACCCAGTTGCATGATAAAAATAAAACTATTTCTTCCGAGGCACTTGATATTCTCGATGAGGCATGTGAAGACAAGGTGAGCATCGTTTACCTTTTCAAACTCTTTTTGGTATACTACTGTGAAAGCTGTTCGCCACACCCTCCCCTTGTGGCAAAGTAAAAAGTATGCAAGCAGCTACTGATGGTTTCCTTTCTTGATTGTCATTGATGGACTTCATAATAGTTTATATGCTCCCTTGCTGAAAATACTGCAGTATTAGTGACAAGAAAACATAGACTTCTGGATTATGCCTACTTTTAAATACGAATTCAGACTAATTCAGTGATTTTGATCATTATGCTTTTTGTGAAGTAATACATATTTAATGACAGAAGGTACCTGAAGTGGATAGTACTAGGATGAGGTTAGTGCAGTTTGATATTTCCATTTGTAAAAAAGCTGGTGCTGCATTGCTGGCAGATTGTTCTAATTGTTGTAGTTTCCAGAATAATATAGTGCTCAGATACTCCTTATGCATTTTTAATTATTTTAGGCTAATCTTCATGCCCTTATCCAAATGAAACCGGCTCTTTCTCATCTTGGCGACAAGGGTTTGCTTCTCCTCCTAAGGTAAATGTTGAATATGCTATTTGACTTTGCACTGTGGAAACAAATAAGTGTTTGTTTTTGTTCCAATTATGTGGTTTGTTTTAAGTGGATTACTAACTCTCTGATGTTAATTTACAGATTTCTGTCCATCCCAAAGGGGTTTTCGTATCTAAATGAAAGAGGTTATGTAACAAAACAAATGGAAAAGTGGCAAAAGGTAATGCTAAGAATAAAAAGTGTGCATGATACTAGGAGGAGGAAGGGTGTGAATATGCAGGTTTAGAAGGTCAAAGATTATTAAAAGTATTCCATATTCATATATGTGTATTGCTAATGCCAATACATTTATTGCCTCGGTGACTTAAAGATTTTGTGGAAAAAGGCTGACAGGGACTTACAGTTCCATAGCTCCTCTGTACGTGTGTGCTTTTCATTTACCCAGGCCTTTCTATAATTTTGATGCTTCAGCAAATATTTCAGGAGTGTAGTGACTTTCTAAAATAAGTTGTTGTGTAAGGTCTTATTGAGAGAAGTTTGTAAAGGAATACTGCTTTTCAAGATACCTGCTACCTCTGGTTGTTGCTAATTAAAAGTTAAATCTAGAGCTCGTGAAGACAGAGCTAGCTTATGCTGTTAGGAGGTAAATAGGAACACAAGACCATTATGAAAAATGCATCATTGTCATGGCTAGAATAAAACTAGTTATACATTATTTTGTTTTCATAACTGATTATTAAGTGCTTTGTCTCATTCCTGTTGGCAGGGTTTTTTTAACTAATTTATAAGCTCTCACTTCTCTAGGAATACTGAAATGCATGGTAGTCTGAGATTATTCGGGTTAAAGTCAGATGTGAAGTATTTCCTTCTTTCCTTCCTTTTTTAACACATTCACTGAATAATTATGGAATCAATTGTTGACTCTGCAAACTCATTGTATGTATGAAGTGCAGTAAGTTTGAGCCTCACCTTCAGATCATCAAGAAATTCAGCCTTCATTAAGGACTGCTTCAATTATTTCTTCTTTATAAAGTACTATACTATAAAAACATAAACCACTAAATGTATTGTATCAACCTTTGTGTGTCTTCTTTTAGGAATATAACTTAAAGTACGTTGAAATGATTGAAGAACAACTTAATGAAGCACTTACAACATACCGCAAACCTGTTGACGGTGATAACTATGTTCGTCGGAGCAACCAAAGGTAAATTTCCAAAAATGTGTCTTTGGGCATAAGCTGGTGGAACTGATCAAGAGAGCTTTAAAGTACAATTCAGGGGGGGAAGGAGATACCAACAGGATTGCAGTAGATAAGGCAAGGGTTGGCATCGCATCACCTGAGGGTGGCAATCTTAGTGGGGACATTTATGCTGTTGCTGGGAGCATGGAGGGCTCAGGAGCTTGTCTGAAAGCTTGTACACCGATGCCCACAGCATGAGAAACAAATAAGATGAACTGAAGGTGTTGGTCAGTTCCCAGAGCTGCAATATCATTGGTATTAGTGTGACTTGGTGGAATGACTCCCACGATTGGAGTGCTGGGATGGAGGGCTACAGGCTGTTCAGGAGGGATAGACAGGGCAGGTGAGGTGGAGGTGTCACTCTGTATGTAAAGGAGAGGTTTAGTTGTACAGCCCTTATAGTTAGTGGTGATGTGGTTGAAGGCCTCTGGGTGAGGATTAGGGGGATGGGAAACAAAGGAGATGTTGTAGTTGATGTCTGCTACTTTTCACTCAGCCAGGATGTTAGCACTGATGAGTTATTCTATAGGCAATTAAAAGAAGTCTCTGGATTGGTAGCCCTTGTCCTCATGGGAGATTTCAAATTCCCAGACATCAACTGGGAATACCATACTACTGTGACGAGCAGGTCCTGGAAATTCCTGAAGTTTGTAGGATTTGACTTCTTGTCACAAGTAGTTAGTGAGCCAGCTAGGAAAGATGCCCTCCTAGACCTGCTGTTTGTGAATAGAGAAGGACTTGTGGGAGATGTGATTGTAGGTGGCTGTCTTGGCCACAGTGATCATGGAATGATTGTGTTTAAAATTTTCAGTGTGATAAGAAAAAAGGACAGTAGAGTTGCTACCGTGGACTTCAGGAGAGCAAACTCTGGGAGCTATTTAGCGGAATACCCCAGGAATCTGTTCTTGAGGGCTTAGGAGTCCACAGATGCTGGTCAGTTTTTAAGCGCCACCTTTTAAAGCACAGGACCAGGCAATCCCGTTGTCTCAAGTCAAGCAAGCAAGGCAAAAGACCAGCTTGGCTGAACAGGGAACTCCTCATGGAGCTCAAGAGGAAAAAGAATTTATATGATCTTTGGAAACAAGGTCAGGCTTCACAGGAAGATTATAAAGCTGTGGTTCATATATGCAAGGAGAAGACACAAAATGCGAAAGCTCAATTAGAACTGAAACTGGCCAATGTTGTGTCATAGTGAGAAGGGCTCTTTTAAGTACATTAATAGAAAGAGGAGGTCTAAATAAAACGCTGGATTGACACTTGTTGAAGATGGTCACCTAACTAATAGGAATGAAGAAAAGGCAAGGGCATTCGATGCCTCGGTCTTTAATAATACTGATAGACCTTTGGCTGCCCAGTGTCCTGAGTCGGAGTACCACAAGTGTGGGAACAGTGGCTTTCCGTTTGTGGACACTGAAATTCTAAGGGACTGGCTGTATCAGCTGAATGTTCATAAATCCATGGGGCCTGATGGGATTCATTGCAGAGTACTAGGGAGCTAGCAGATGTTGTGGCAGGACCTCTCTCGATCATATACGAAACGTCTTGGGAGTCTGGGAAGGTCCCTGCTGACTGGAAACTAGCCAGTGTTATTCCAGTTTACCAGAAGGGCGTAAAGGAAGACCCAGGAAACTACAGACCTGTTAGTGTAAGCTCAGTTCCTGGAAAAATTATCAAGGAGATCGTACTGGGTACTTCTGAAATGCATTTAAAGAATAATGCACAGTCAGCATGGGCTTACAAAGGGAAAGTCCTGTTTAACTAATATGATAACCTTCTATGATAAGGTCACCTGTCTAGTGGATGAAGGGAAGGCAGTGGATGTAGTTTTTCTGGATTTTATTAAGGCTTTTGATACCGTCCCCCACAGCATCCTTCTGGACAAGTTGACCAGCTGTGGGATGAGTGGATTCACAGTGCTCTGGGTGAAGAACTGGCTGAAGGGCAGGTCTGAAAGGGTTGTGAATGGGGCTACATCTGGCTGGCGACTGGTCACCAGTGGTGTTCCTCAGGGCTCAATTCTAGGGCCAGTTCTGTTCAGTGTTTTTATCGATGACCTGTATGTAGGAATTGAATGCACCATTTGCAGGTTTGCTGATGATATAAATTGGGAGCTGCTGTTGACTCCTGAGGGACAAGATGCCTTGCAGAGGGATCTAGATAGACTGGAGTATTGGGCAACGATTAATGGGATGAAATTTAACAAGTCCAAATACTGGATTCTGCACCTAGGACAGAGTAATGCTAGGCAGAAGTATAAATTGGGAGAGGAGTGACTGGAGAGCAGCCCTGCAGAAAGGGATCTGGGGGTGCTAGGTTCATGCTAAGCTGAATAGGAGTCAGCAGCGTGCCCTAGCAGCCAAGAGGGCAAACCGCATCCTGGGGTGCATCGAAGACCGTATAACCAGCTGGTAAAAAGAGGTGATCGTTCTGCTGTATTCAGCCTTGGTGTGGCCTCACCCTGAGCACTGGGTGCAGTTCTGGCCCCACAATTTAAGAAGATCCTTGAATGCATCCAGAGGAGGGCAGCAGAGGTGGTGAGAGGGCTGGAAGGCATGTCCTGTGAGGAGCAACTGAGGACTCTGGGCTTGTCTAGTTTGGAGAGAGGGAGGCTGAGGGGCAACCTCATTGCTCTCTGCAGCTTCCTGAGGAGGGGATGTGGAGGGGAGGTGCTGATCTCTTCTCTCTGGGATCCAGTGACAGGATGTGTGGGAATGACTCTAAGCTACACCAGGGGAGGTTCAGACGGGACATGAGGAAGTGTTTCTTTACTGAAAGGGTGGTCAGACACTGCAACAGGCTGCCTAGAGAGGTGGTCAATGCCCCAAGCCTGTCAAAGTTTGAGACATTTGGACAATGTCATTAATAACATACTCTAACTTTTGGTCAGCCCTTAAGTGGTCAGACAGTTGGACTAGGTGGTTGTTGTAGCTCGCTTCCAACTGAAATATTCTTTTCTGTTCTAATCTTTTCCTAATTCTCCAAAATAATCCTCTTCATCTGAAGAAACTCAAGAGTAACTCATTGCATGACACTGCAGTGTAATTTATTTTAAAAGAAATGTCAGAATTTCTGGGAAAGTATATAATTTCTCTTTCTGCCAGATTACAGCGACCACATGTCTACCTGCCAGTTCACCTTTATGGCCAACTGGTTCATCATAAAACAGGCTGCCATTTATTGGAGTCTCAGGTAAGGAAAATAACTATTTATAACTTGAAAGATTTTAAAGAGTACTGTAACTCTTTTTAAAAATGTTTTAAAAGAGATGGCATTTAAACAGTCACTGCAAAATAAGTTGATTATGAAAGTCTTGAGTTATGTGGGGCCAAAAAGTTTTGAATACAGTTTTTGCCATCTAGTCTCATGTAAAATTCCTTTCTGATACTGAAATATCAGAGATATACCTTGCAACATTTTTCTTAAAATGGCTAGCAAAATCTTAGAGTGGAAAGCAACTCGCCAATAGAAATTTTTCAGTGTGTGAATTGTATATTGACAAGTAAAACTGTGCCTATCCTTTTATGCATACAAAAACCTGGAGATGAGGGAATAAAGTCTTCTTTCTAATGTCCTGAAAAGCTAAGAAAACAAACCCTAAGCTAGTTCATAGTTGCTTAAATTAAATCACTTTCAGTGTGGGTTTGCAAGATGATGTAATGAATTTTAAATATCATAGTTGAAAAGGTCAAGAAAAAGTTTATATATTGCAGTATGTTAGTCTGATTGATCTGTTATCTTTATAAAATCTGAATTAACTTGATGCAATCAGTGGTTACATTAACATTTTCTACTTGCATTACAATTGCTGTTAACTGCTTATTATTCCAGAACTAACACTGTTCCTTTTAGGGTGAAACTTTAAAGTACTGCTTTATCTTTTATTAAAAATGCAAGAGAACTTGTTTGACTGAGATCTCACTTTCATTGTCAATTGAAGTATTTTTTTCTTCTGTTTTTCTCTTTCAGAGCATTGTTACAGATCTAAGTTACACTGTTCGTTCCCCAATGCTGGATAAGTGGGAAGGAATTAAGCAGCTGAAAGCAGCCCTTTGGGCCTTGGTTAGTAACAGATTTACAAACTTTTTGCAGTTGTTTGAGTCCTGTTATGACTCCTGATTCTGAAATAACTAAGCAAAATCCCATAAAATCATTTATTAGGGTTTTTGTCATAGAGCATGTGTCATTTTTCCAAGTTGGTGTTCTGTACTCTAACTAGACTTTCAGTTGAAAATGGTTCACTGCACCTTTTTTGTTCTGAGTTTTTTAATAGTCACTTTGTCTTTTTTGTTTGTTTAACAAACAAAAAGAACAGATTGCTACATGTAGCAACAATATTAGTATGGAACCAGTAGTTACAAGTTGGTGTGGTCTGTTTTTAATGTGTTTATTCCAGTGGTCCAAAATTCAATGTTTCTGGAAGAAGGTTGGCTGCCACTGTTGATGCATGTGGATATATGTGGTCATGACACCCTTGGTACTTGGACAGGCAAAAACCTAATGTCTGTGCCTATCCAAGCTACACTTCTAAATTTACTTTGCTACCTCAACTGTTTGTCTGCTTCTTTCTTGTCTACCCCAAAGTTTATTTTGGAACATTTGTCCAAGGTCACTATTACTGGAAGATACTGTATGTATGTAATGAAATGCCCGAGTAAGAGGAATGTAAAATTAGTAAACCAAGATCATACTGTTGGCTGTAGTAGAACTTGTAAAATGAGGAATACATAGTAGTAGTTAACTGTGAGCAGTTTTAGGTATTATACATAGTGTGCCAAGTTCTTTTTTTGGATTTGCATGACTAGGAAATGCCAAAAAGAGTGCTCAGATCTCTAATTGGCTTGAGAACATAATGGCTTGAAACTGTACTACCAACAAACAAAAATGTCAAAAATGATTACACTGATAGTGCTGCAGATCATATCAAAATCAAAACTTACTTGACAAACTTTTATTCTAGGGCAATATTGGATCATCAAATTGGGGTCTTAACTTGCTTCAAGAGGAGAATGTAATTCCTGATATAATGGCACTTGCCCAACATTGTGAGGTTCTCTCTGTTAGAGGGTATGTGTGTCTGATTTATACATAAAGTTTACAGATGGTAGTTGCCGTAGGTTTTCAAATAGCCTTACCTAATTTACATAAATATAATTTTGCATTTATGTGGAAATCAGTTGTTAAAGATCACTGATGACTGAGTATCAATCTCAGTCCTATACAATTCTGCGATTGTGTAGGAAGTCTGAAAGAACATGCAGGAGGAAAATGAAGCCTATGGAAAAATATATACTAATTTCTCATTTTTAAAACAACAATTAAAATATTTACTACCTAGATATCTGTTGGAATCAATTTATTATTCTGTCATTTTTATTCAGTATCTTTTTTGAATCTGCAAAAGCATAATAGATGGTCTTTGGCCTAATATTGCTACTGCATTAATATTTGTCCTTTTATTTTTTGTTTTTTAAAAAAAGGTACTTTTCTACTCTATGTAATCAGACTCTTGTAATAATTAGGTTTTATTTTTGAATAGTGTATCGTTCGCAGATATTTTGGTGCATTTCTTAAGTTTCCTGTGATTTACAAGGAAAAATTAACACCAAGCTATTTGGCAGTTCTGTGAAGTTTCTGCTGAATTGTTTTGTAACTTTCAAAACACAACTAAATGTAGTTAAATTAGATGCTATTATTGTTGCTTTTTTTTCTATGTATACATTAAATACAGAACCTGTGTCTACGTGCTTGGTCTAATAGCCAAAACTAAACAAGGATGTGACATTTTGAAGCATCATAACTGGGATGCAGTGAGACACAGTCGTAGACAGGCTTGGCCAGTGGTCCCTGATGACATGGAGCAGCTCTGCAATGAACTTTCTTCTATACCCAGCACTCTTAGCTTGAACTCTGAGTCCACCAGTTCTAGGCACAACAGTGAAAGTGAATCTGCTCCTTCAAGTAAGTAACAAAACAAACAAACAAAACCCCGAAACTCACCACAAAACAGCATTTTGGTATTCTTACCAACATTTCGGCAGGATGAGGTTCAGGCAAATGGTGTAAAGGTATTATTACAGAAAAGAAGAGTGCAAGCAAGGGGACAGAGTTACATGCATTCAGAGAGATGTAGACAAGTAAGAGGAAAGAGGGTAGTGTCTTAGGTTTACGTTTGGTGTAGAAGTAAGACATTTTAACATCAGGGTAGGTTACTAGTTTTTATGTCAAGTCCTGGCAGCTTGCTGTAATACCCTGCAGAAATCTCCATGCTTAGGTATAAAGATACGTTTACTTGGTTGTCTTCAAAGGAATATTCTAGAATATAAATACATATATTCTGTGTGTATATACACACACAGAGTATTGCTGTATTTAAATTCTTTTATATTTTGAGTATCTGATACATTTTAATTTTGCTATCGGTATTTGGAATTTAAATCCGGAAATATACCATATCTCTATCGTTAAAGGTGCACATCAGTTGAAATCCTAGTAGCTGGATATTTTTGCTGAAATAAGATGGTGTGGCCTTTCTTTTAAAGCAATGAGACCTTTAGCTCACGTACTCCTCAAGATACTTAATTTACACCACTAAGTTCTGCAGAAAAAAATGTTGATTTAAAATTGCATTAAATTACAGTCTCCCACTTTGGCTTCTATAGAATTGCTTACTTTTCACAACATAGTTCATACACTTTGAAGAAATGTCCATTTTCAGTGACAAAGTATCATATAATTTCAGGTATGTTCATCATGGAGGATGACCGTTTTGGTAGTACTTCCACTAGCACGTTCTTCCTAGATATTACTGAAGAAGCAGAACAAATATTTTATGACAGACCTGGACCTTCAAAGGACAAAGACCGTAGTCCCTTTCCTTTTTTTTCTTCTAGTAGACTTGTGAAAAATCGCATTCTAAACTCTCTTACTCTACCTAATAAAAAACACAGAAGTAGCAGTGATGCAAAAGGAGGAAAGCTGATATCATCTGACAGTAAATCAGGCTTGAGGAGAAATCGTACAGTAACAGAACCTTCCAGTAGCATAGACTTTCCTGCTGGGGAAGAATTCAACCCTGTTTTCAGAGTTCCTAAAATCCAGACTTTACGATTAGAAACTTCATTTGTTGGAAGTAAGCACATGGAAGATACTGATAGTACACCAAGTATTGGAGAAAATGATCTGAAGTTGCCAAAAGCTCTTGGAAATGAAATTCACCGGGAAAACACAAGCAGAGAGAGGTTAATAGGAGATGGTACTACACAAACACATTTCAAGAGTCGTAGCTTAAGTTTTAATACAGATACCACAACAAGTGGCATAAGCTCAATGAGCTCTAGCCCTTCGAGGGAGACTGTAGGTGTGGACACTACAAATGTAGATACTGACTGTGGAAGTTTGAGTACTGTGGTAAGCACAAAGACAGTTAAACCAAGTCACTGTTCAACACCACAGTCTAACCACCTGCCTCTCTCAAAATCCAACTCTGTATCCTTGGTACCACCAGGGTCTTCTCATACACTTCCCCGAAGAGCCCAGTCTCTTAAAGCTCCTTCTCTTGCTACGATAAAAAGTCTTGCTGACTATAACTTTAGCTACACAAGTTCTCGAGATGCCTTTGGCTACGCTACTCTGAAACGCTTACAACAGCAGAGGATGCATCCTTCACTGTCTCACTCAGAAGCCCTAGCATCTCCAGCAAAGGATGTGCTGTTTACTGACACTATTACCATGAAGTCTGGCAGCCTGGATTCTCGGCTAACCCCAAGCCGGTAAGAGGTTATTATGAGCCCATTTCTTACTTTGAAGCTGTAAGAGCAATTAAATGAGAAAAGTATCTTTCTAATATGTCTTTCTGGCCTCACCTAAAAGTGACAGTTGTTGCAGGATGGTTCAGAACTTCACTGAAAGCAGTATAGGAAAATAATATAATAGTACGAGAATTCTGAACTTTGTAAGTGCTGTCAGAGAAGCCCAGCTTTTCTAGGTGTGTTCAGCCTCTTTAATGCTGTTAGTGACAAAAATGTTTCCTTTTATCACATTTGCTTCCTGTTTAACTTTTCAATATTTAAATGCAGTTACACTGCTAACATTACTGAAGTTGCAATCACACAAAATTGTCCTTGTAGTCAGAGCTGTATTTCAGAAGAGAATTTTCTCAGTGTCACTTGGTGTGGTTTTAGGACAGGGACTTCTGCCAATATGCTATATTTGTGTTCACTGTGGCATTGAGGCCAGTGACGAGATACTGTACCACTGATTGGAATGTCAGTTTGATTTCTTAGCTACAACAGAGCAAAGATTTTACTCATAGTGTTTATTTTTAGATAGCAGTGTCACCTCTTTATTTTTGAGTAATATTACATGTTCTGAAGACTAATTGGATAGTTACATAAGATATGTGTCTCATGACATTGACACTGTTCCCAGTGGCTACAGTTAATGCTTAACACCTTTCTCTTCAAAGCTCTTCTACCAATTTTTTCCTTTCGAATCATCTTTTAGCTACTGCATTGGACTTTCACATTACTATTAAAAGGGAAGAGACACTTTATATCTCTGTTCTTATCTAAACATCCTCTCTGAGATGAGAGAAAGGGGAGAAGCTACCAGTACATTAGTCATCTGCTTACTGCGCAGAACAGCAGATGCCCGGTCCCTGAACTGCTCTCTGCATACTCCATTGAGTGTATATAGTGCTTGTTTATCACTATGCATCTTTGTCCTAATTAAGGGCAGCATTCATTTCTTGCTATTGTCACATGATTCTGCAAAGATCTGACATAAATTCAACTAGGTAAGAACTAGACTGAGTGTGCTGATTAAATTAAGGATGATTCAGTAGTTAAGTTGCACTGTCCTAGAATTCAGAAGTGCTGTTCCTTGCTCTGCCACTAGCTTCCTGTGCTAATGCAGGAACAAATCAGTGTTATTTCAGTGGCAGTACAGGTTCTGTTGTGGCTGTAGTAATGTTGTACGATTCCTTGTAGTCATGCCCTTGATATGCAAAGCAGCCTTGCTGCAGTGGACTTTCATCCTGAGACTCTGCATGCAATGTAATTCTAACAGTATTCCTGGTGCTTAGATGTTCATGATCTCTCCTATCAGTTAGTCGGCTCAAGGATTTCACCTGTTTAACACTGAACAGAAATGACTGGAGTGCTCATATCTCTGAGAAGGTTGAAAAATGGCGAATGTACATATTACAAGAGATTGTCAGATTGTGTTGGTTACTAATATAAGTGATTGGAAAGACGATGATGTAACTAGTACATGTGTTTTTCTTACTGGTTACAGCTGAGTGTCTGCACTGAATAATCGTCGTCCTGTTAATTTCAGAGTATGTGACTACTTACAGCTAAATATTGCCCATAACTGCTGTTTAAGTAATAAATTGGAAAGAAATATTCTATCCTTTCTGTCTTCCAAGGCTATTTTTCTGTCAGTCTCCAGAAAAATTTCTTTGATTCATGCTTCATTGACTAAGTCATGTGTTCATAGCAACTAGCATCTGTAGATTGATTTTTTTTTTTCCCTGATGTTTCTAGTTCTTTTTGTTCAAAAGATTGAAAAGCTTATTTCTTTGCATAAATTACTTTGTAAGGCTAAATTTCCCGCCTTTGTCTTTAAAGGCCAACCAAAAATGTTAATATGCATGTCTCAAATCCTGATTGTGGCTCTGACCCTATCACCTGCAGACATGCTTTCCTGAAAATTTGCTGGTGTTTATCACTACTAATGATGTATCTGTTAACTTTTCCAGGAAAAAACAGGTACACATGTTTAGGACTAATACGTCTATCTTTAATTTTATGTTGAGAGTAATTGTGGGATGTTTTACTATGAAGTAACTAATGCAATTGGTAACTCTTGGGGTTTTAGAATAATGGAATGATTTAGGTTGGAGAAGACCATTAAGATCAAGTCCAACTGTAAACTTAACACGACCAAGCCTACCACTAAACCATGTCCCTAAGCACCACATCTGCACGCCTCTTAAATGCCTCCAGGGATGGTGACTCCACCACTTCCCTGGGCAGCCTGTTCCAATGCTTGACAACCCTTTCAGTGAAGAAATTTTTCCTAATATCCAATCTAAACCTCCCCTGATGCAACTTGAGACCATTTCCTCTCATCCTTTCGAAGTATGGCTTGACTTTTATTGTAAGTCCACTGCTACTGTCATTAGCATTGGTCAGAATTAGTAGCAAGAGAACTATTGATATCTTGTAACTTGTGTTCTACGCATTCCCATTGCATAATAATGGCTTGAACCTTACATGGTCAAACCTTGATAATTGTAATTTTATATCAGTTTAAATCTGTTAACCTGTTAGGGATAAAAAGACATTTTATTTGCCCATCTAAGCCAAAAAATGATAGAAAATTATTTCTAAGGCAGAAAGTCAAGAAGTCAAGTGTTTACTGTACTTTACCTCTCAATGTATAATAATTTGCAGAAGTATAATAAAAATTTACTGTTCTTGAGGTGTGTCTGGTTTTACTAGGAAGCTTTAATCCACTGCATATAGACCATCTAGATAGGTTGACTAGCAGAAAACATTTATAGGTTTTTATCTTCAATGAGAAGTAAAATGACAGATGACCAAATGTTAAATTTCCATCATCAGGACTCTGATCAGCACTGAGGACTTGTTTCCAGCTTCTTCTTTCCTGTCTCATTTTCCCAACCTATTTCTTTCTTTGTTCGTCGGGCTGCTTGTCACAGACAGCTCTGCTCACTGTGCAGGTTCAAGTTTGTTCTTTGTGCATTCACATTGAGCAAATTCTTCCTCCATGCTAGGGTGACCTAATGGGTGGCTCCTTTAGAGTAAAGGAAAAAAAATGTTCCTTGCTCGCATCACTGGTACCTTAGCTGCATTTGCAAGGATGTGCCTGCTCAGTTTGGAGTTTGTGAGTATCCAGCAAGGTACATTCAATGTATAGCTACATTTAAAAATGAGGCAGTTAGCAGTTTACAAGCCTAATACTGACCATACCTGGGCTGCAAATCTTCAAAGCCTGGTAAGTTGGAGAAAATTTGTAGTTTTACAGGATTGGCAACCCCTCAAGCAGAAGTTCCATCCTCCTGTCTTTCAGGTCCCTGTTCCAGGACTTTTAAAGAAAAATTTTTTACTCAAGGAACTGCCAAACTGTGCAATACAGTGAGGCAGAAAAAAGCAATGAGCCTATAGCTGTAATTTGGCAGAGTAACAAGCTCTGGGTTCTACAATGGGAAGATGAAGATAGTCTATGTGTCAGTAGTCCTTCTTACTTTTAATGTACCAGAATGAGAGATTTACCGAGATTGTGATTTATTATTTCAATGTTACAGGTTCATGAAAGCTTTAAGTTATGCTTCGTTAGATAAAGAAGACTTATTAAGTCCTATTAACCAAAACACACTTCAGCGTTCCTCTTCTGTTCGTTCCATGGTTTCTAATGCTGCATATGGTAGCTCTGATGATTACATTGGCCTTGCTCTCCCAGTGGATATCAATGAGATATTTCAGGTATGTATGTGATAACTTACTGGGTTCACTTGCATTTTCATACCGAAAGGTTGTCAACTGTTGCATAGATTACATCTAGAGAAATGACGGAAAACGAATGTGATACTTTCAAGGAATGCATTTTGGAGAAGAGTTTCTTTTCTAACCCTGTTTACAGAAAATCAATAGTCTGTTTTGTATTATTAGGCAAATAATGACACAGAGTAGATTAGAGTGTTAAACAATGGTAGTATAAATATGCTGTCATAAGATTTTTTTGTTGTTGTTGACAGCTAGCATTTGTGCTAAAATTAGCATAGTCTGTGGACATTTGCTAATACCTCTTTAGCCAACTAAATGGTATGTTCATTGGTCAGCCATAAATGATGTACATAATTGCACAGTTAACTTCCTGCTACCATGATCTTGATTAAATACTAGTTTATTTGTGTATATATTGTCATAGCATTAAATTATATTGTCTTTACTTAGCCTCACAGATACATATATTTAAGCTAAAAACAGATTATTTAAATATCTTAGCAATTGCCTTCCTCTTTCTACTTGGTTAAAATACATTCCCATCTAACAAACTGTTGCATCACAGGGTTTAATATTCTGTTATTTAATTATCAAAAACAAGACATGGTCTATGTCAGAGGTAAGTCAGTGGGCTTTCTTAGCTCTAGTTTACTTAGTCTTTGCCTTTCAAACATAAATTACTTTCTTACTTATCTCAAAAAACTTACTAAAGCTAGAGCAAAGGCAAGACTTTTCCATCATACTTGCTTCTGTTCCCCTTTTATGAAATGGCTACTTTTTCTTTCTCCTTCACAGTCTTTGTGGCTTATTTATGTTGCCTCACTTCTTCTCTCTCAAAACTTTTTGTGGAGTTGATACACATCTCAACTCGACAACATCTTACAGGCAACATTTTAAATGTCCTGGGTATTTTTGCAGTGCTCTCCTGAGATGTCCAGTGATGCAGAGTGATCATGAACAGATCATTAATAGCCAATGCTGGGTCACTGGTTCCCTTACAGCTTGTTGTCGCATTTTAACATTTACTGTTCATGAGCCTTGTCTAATGAATGTTGATTTGCAAATGTGTGTTTTTGTCATTGGCTTTCCTTTACAGAATCACAGAATGGATGTGGTTGGAAGAGACCTCTGGGATCATTGAGTCTAACCTTTGCCCTAACACCACCATGTCAACTAGACCATGGCACTGAGTGCCACATCCAGTCTTTCTTAAACACCTCCAGGGATGGTGACTCTACCACCTCCCTGGGCGACCTTCAGTACTCAGGAGCCCAATCTTAATTTCCTCCTCTAATTAGTTCTTTTTCCTGAAGTAAAAAATGGGTGACATCTTATTTCCTCATAAAATCTGTTTTTTCCTTTGTGTATGATTATCACCTGTGCTAATTTTAATTTTCACTTGAATATACCAGGTAAAGGAAACTCCATATTTCCAGAAGAAAACCACACCTCCGTTTGATGACCGTGGAGCTCGGGTCTTTGCACCTGATGCAGGAGGTACTGGTTTTGTTCCTCTGCTGTACCTTTCTGTTGTTTATTTGTACATTGGATTGGGTGGAGTGTTGGTATATTTGTTGAATTTTATTTATTTATATAGTTATTTATTCTTTGCAGAGAAGGCTATTTTTAGCTGTTAAGTTTTGAGAGCTGTGTTCTGGATTCAGGATAGCAGGCCATAAATTCCCTGTTTTGTTTAGTTTGAGATAATGTGGTGTTGCTTCAAGGCAATGTAAGCTTGGTCCTGCTTTAATAAGTGAAGGAGGAAAGTCTACATATCTTTGATGATAATATGAGCGAATGCTAATCGAAGACTTGTAGTGATACTGCATTAAACAAATTCACAAAATTTAGGCTAAGATAAAATATGTCACATATTGAGGTGTTATATTTTGACTTTCCTTTGATTACACATGAATTTATAGGAACCAATAATCGTGTTAGTTGTGTATTTCAGAAAGTAAATTTTGTTTTTCTGTGATGCTTCCATGACAGTTGATCAGCGGAGGTGATGGGACATGGTACAAGAGAATTGCAAATGCTCTGTAATGCCTGGCTTGTTCTGGAATGCACTTTTTCACTCCAGAGCAGTCAGAAATCTGTAAGGTTATATGCCTTTTCAGTAGGACAACTGAAAAAGCAGCATTGAAACTGGTCCTAAAGTAGTATAGGATAGCTGTTGTCTTGCCTTCTAGTTAACTGGAACTTCATTACAAGCACTTTGAACATCCAAATAGACACACCATACTGATTTTTTTTTTATTTTGTGTTGTTAGTGTAATATATAAAGCTGATTTTTCTGGAAGTGTGTTTCTGTAGTTTCAGTGTGAAATAACTCTTGTTCAGAATTGTATTTGTTGGTATTTTCCACCCAGTGAAGAGCGTGTCACTAAAATCTCTTTGGCTTGTTTCTGCATTTTTTGAGTCTAGTTTCTTCCTATTACAGGCACTAAGTCTCAGGGGTTTTTTTAAATTGTGTTTCTGTGTTCATTGGTACATGTGTTGTCTAAACATACGGTATATTGTTGTACTAATCTTGTTTGACACTATGAAAATTGGTAACATTAGTGTTACATGGGTATTACTGTTACTAGTGTTGATATAATGTCAGGATTTACCACGTCTTCTTCGAGTATGTGTGTTTAGAAGTTGAATTTCATCCTTCGCAATATTTTGTTATATATGATAAGCTGAGACTGAAACGTGATGTCTGTTTCCCAAATGCTAACAATCTTGGGAGCTTAACCACTCAAAAAAAAAAAAAAAAAAAAATTCTAGATCTTCACACACTCCCCCCCCACACCCCCTGGCCTTAAAAGACTTTAAAGGGGAAAATTTAATTGAAATAATGTTGGTTGCTTGGTTTTGCTTTTTTTTCTGATGTCTAATTACTTATCTACAGGTCTTCCATCAGGTACAAGTGATGTTGTCAAAAACCCTTTCCAGATACTCCGACAGCAAATCAGTCTCACTGAAATAATGAACACCAGCCGTTCAGATGCCTGCCAATTTTTAGAAAATACAGAGGATACAGGGCTACAGGAGCACACAGATGAGAACTGCCTTTACTGTGTCTGCATTCAAATACTGGGTTATCAGCCTAACAACAAAGTGAACTCTTCATATAGTCGTACAGGTTAGTGTTCCTTGCGGGGAAGTGTGGTAAAACTGAATGAAAATACTGAATTTTGTTCATTTTAAAAATCGATTTATCTGAAGATTTTTTTTTCTTACTGACTATTGACCTTGAAATTAATTCTCTGTAATAAGCTCACTGTACAACCAATGGTATTTCTATGGTAATTTCCAGCTTTTCAATTTCTAGTGGTGTTAGTATGACTAGGTGCCTACATGTTTGTTTTAAAAATTTCTAAGAGCTTATCAAAATATAAAATTTGAAACTTCATTTAGTACTTAAAATCCATGTCCTAAAAACTGGCGCTTGCTGTCAAACTAATGAGAAGTCTGACTTCAAAGCAAGCCTGTACCATAAAGTGAAAGAAATCTGAGGAGTCTGTTGAAGTTGAGCTGTATTTTGTAGAATTTAGTCATCTTCCTCCATATTTTGAGATTCAGACCAGATTCAGAATTATTTTTTCCTAACCTCCTCTGCAGAGCTTGCAGTTACATGCCTTTTTGCAATGTCTGTAATAAAAGGATAATCCAGTAATGGATGCTTAGTAGGGATCCTGACTGTTCTACGACAGTGTTACACATTCAGCTGGTAGCATATGAAGAGTACTGTTGGCAAGGGGGATGATGTATAAAATGTGAGGAATGGCCATAGAGCTGAGTTTGAGCTCGAGTTCAGTATCAAGAAAGGATGCCAAATAAAATCCCAACTGTAGTTTTCAAATAGCGTAAGGGGATTAACAGGTGCAGCATACCCAGGCTCTTGTCAGAGGCACACAGCCAAAGGACAGGAGGCCGTAGCACGTGCTGTAGGAATAGAAATTCCAGTTGAACATAAGGAGAAGCTCTTCACAGTGTAACTTAACCTCATTTTGAGGTGAACCCTTCTTTGAGCAAGGGGTTGTTGATGTAGATGATCTTCACGAGTTCCTTCAGACCTATGTTTTTCTGTGGTTCTGTTAACTGTGCAACAATAAAGCTTGGATTTTATGTTCATGTCTTTAAATCCTAAATGCCAAAGGCTGTGGATAGTGAAACCTCCCAGAAGAATCTAACTTGTCACATCTTCCTGTTGATGAAGGCAGAGCCCTTTCTGCAACACCTGTGAGAATTGTATGAACAAAAAAAATTACGCGTATGCAAGAGCATCTTTATTATGTACATAAATTATATACATAAAAATGTACATTATTATATACACAAAATACAGCACAGATATATCAATAAGAGCTCCAGGTGTGATGACAGTTTTTAGGCTTCCGTCAGTGTCTGAGTGAGTTGATTATTTTCACTCGAGTACTTTAACTTTCAAAAAAGTGGGGTTTTTTTAAGCCTTTTTGAGTATGATTTGTCCTGAAATCCAACATAGTTTCCAGCTGGTTTATACACACAGTACTTAGTGCATCAGTGTCTTGCATGATTACCATTGTTGAAAAATAGGAAAAGCATTTGAAGTGAGGTAAAGTGTGAATAACAAAGATGCAACACCTTGTTTATGTCAGATTTTTCAGACATTCCATATACTGACTGGTGTGGGCAGACCATACACAATCACATAGATGTGCATTCCTCCAAATTTTCTGGAATTTCAGGCTGTAGTGATGCAGTATCCCATGGTTCGGCTAGCAGCAACAAGAGTACAGAGCTTGTACTAGGTAAGTTTGAAAGCCTTATGATTATTAGAGACTATAACTCTTAAAGTATTTTCTAGGTATTGTGGAAAAATAATATTTCATTTCTACACACTGCAACAAAGTAATGCTCATTATTTAAAAAACAAACAAAAAAAACCCCCAAGAATTAAAACTACAGCTATCTCCACATGGGAGAACGTACTTTTAAACTCTTTTCCTTTTGCTATCCAGCACTTTTGCAGCTTATTAAATACCTCTGTATCTGACATTACAAGCAAATTGATTGCTTTTTTTCCCTCATTGGTGCTAGTTTAAAAAAATATTTTTTAAAAAGTGAATTTCTATAAAGAGAAAGACATTTCTTTTTCAAGCTTGTGTTTTACATTTTGAATTATAATTTCTTATGAAATAGCTGGTTGCTAACTTCTCCAGCATCTGATAGAAACAGAGCAGGTAATCACTTGCCCAGTTTGTGACACGATTTAGTTATAGAGACAGCACTGTAATTGAATCTTACAGGTTTTTGCATTTATGAAACAGTAGTTTACCTCTTGAAAATATTTCTGTGTTAAAATTCCTGAAAACAGTTTTCATTTCAATGGAAATATTTCTTCGTGGTTCAGAATACATGCATAAATATGTGTGTGTGTGTTCATGGAATGCTAAAACCAGCTTATGTGGTGTAAGATTAGCACAATCAAAGACTATTCTGTTTAAACTCCATACTGTTTAATTTGTTTTTCCAGGAGTAAAATCAATCCCAGATGATACACCAGTGTGCAGAATACTTCTGCGGAAAGAAGTCTTACGTTTAGTAATCAATTTGAGTAGTTCAGTAGGAACTAAGGGCCATGAAACGGGACTCTTGACGTAAGTTCAATACATTTCAGATGTTTTAGCAACATTTAGTTGCATGTATTCTCTAAGATCTCTTGAATAGTGATTAACCTTACTTTTGACCTCTCAAAAAAAATTGTCAAGCAGATATGATTGAATGTAATGTAAAAGCTAAACAAAAATTTAATATTACTCTGTCTTCAGTTTCTTACTCTTCCCCATCTTTTTGAAATCGTTAATTCAACTTAGTGATATTTCATTATATACCCAGTATATCATACATCTTTAAAAAAGAAATCATAATTCTTTTTTGCAATTTGTGCAAAATAATATATATCAGATAAGCAGAATAACAAACTGAAAGTAACTTCTTGAGAAACACAGATCTGCTTTGAGCAAGAGTACAACTTCTGAAATCAATTTACAGAAAAAATCGTGTTAAAATATAGGAACCCAGGGACCAAGTGTTATAATAAAACGTCTAGATTTCTGGGCTAGTGACATTGGAAACTGACATACAACTGCTAAAAGAAAATGCAAAAATGCTCATTTTAGTTTCAGAAATGTTTACAGGTAATTAAGTTAGCTTTTCTATATTTTTTTTTATTACTATTGTACATGTGGATGCCAATTCTTTGATATACTGTTCTCTTTCTACATCTATTATTTTAAGACTAGGTGATCTTAGCAATTCTGTACAACTTTCAATATATTCTGTTTCATCTCATTAATATAGATTTCTTCCAGTTTGGTACGATGTTGTCCAACTTTTCTTACTTCAGCAGAGACGGGATTTATAATGCCTATTATTGAAGAGTTCTACTTTGTTAATGATGACAATCAAAATATAATTGAACAGTTTTTTGAAAATATGATGACAATCTGTTCAAGACTTATGAAATTTTGGTTTTTTCTGATTTTCAGAATTAAGGAGAAGTATCCCCAAGCATTTGATGACATATGCCTTTACTCTGAGGTGTCCTACTTGTTAGCACATTGTACCTTTCGACTTCCATCTCGAAGGTTCATTCAGGAGCTATTTCAAGATGTACAGTTCCTACAAGTAAGTGGAGGGTGCAGATGCATTGAATGCACCAGAATGTGCCAGCTGGGTGCAGGTTTCCTGTTCTCAGTAGAAGATGCTTTCAGATGTGTTTTAAAGGAAACCATTTTATGATGTCTCTAGTAAAATTTCTAACAACATTAATACTTCATCTGTCTTTTTCGTTTAGATGCATGAAGAAGCAGAGGCTATTTTAGAAACACCAACAAAACAGCCAGTAATCGATACATCAGCTGAATCCTGACCTCTGTCTCATGCAGTTCATTGCATATAAACTTTCTGAAATCCTCAGACAACCTCTGACTGACTGGATAAAAAGCTTGGAGCATCATCTTCTAGACTGTTCCAGAAGCTACTGGTACCTGAAGACTGAACTGAAAACTTCCTCTTCCTCAACCAATTACTGCCCCAGTCTTTTGAGCCCTTTGGGGAGTTATTAAACATTACCATAGTTTTAATAATAGTAATTAGCAGTATATGCAAGAGCCGAGCACTGAACACAAGTTTTCATTTCACTTTCTACCATAAATTAAAAAAACAGGACAACATGCAGAGACATCTTTTTTGATTGACTTCTGATTCTGTTCCAGAGAAGCAGAATGATGCCTTGCTTTTTAAACCATGGATACCAGGAGTGAGAGAGATGAGGGTGCATTCCATTGCCAGCAATGGGGAGCCGTGCTTTGATCACGGACACCAGGGGATTAACATTAGCTCTTCTCTGTTGGTTTTTGTACTGTTTATAACACTACTTGGGCGTTTGTAACTTCAGACAGAAAGAAAAGCCTCTGTGAATCTGAGGTTTCCTTTAAGTTATTTTAATATTGCTATAGTTGTAAGTCATTTTATTAAGCAGTCTCTCCGATTTCATTACATTTACGTATATATATCTTACCTGAACCAGTTAAGGATTTTCACTACAGTTTGATTTTAAAAATAACAAATCATTTAAACTTAAAATGCTGAAATCAGATTGTTTTCCCTGAATTACATGCATGTGTTTGCAGTTTCTACACTCATCCTCATATAGTATGAATGTTGGTCTTACTCTTAACTAAAATCCTTTAAAACGCATGATTTGTGCCAGATAAATTAGTATCGTATAAATTAAACTTGAAGAGATTTAATCATTGCTGCTTTTCTGAGTAGACATAATATGAGTGTTTTCCAAGTTCCATGGAAACAGCCTTTTATAAAAAAAGGTTTATTTGAATTTTAAATGGATGAGTGATCAGGCATCAGATAGTACTAATAATTGTAGTGAAAAACCTTAAGTACCAAATCTTGGAGCAGCAGTACTTACAATTTTATACTGGTGTTTAAGACTTGTTGCAAAAGTTAAATGATACAGTGACTGTTAATGACTGAAATAGTTGCCTCTATCACATTACTTGTGAGGTTTCTAAATTAATGCCTGCAAGCTTAAAAAAAAACCAAACTAAGAATCCCTGACACTTTATCATGGATATAAAGATTCAGAAGCCTTTATACAAAGGTAATATAAATATATGCAAATGTGTGTGTACAGTAGCATGGCCACCTTTGTTAGAATGCCTGTAACAGAAGGGATTACCCCTTGATTTTGATACAGGTGAATAATTCAGCTGGACTGTACTAAGTAGAACATATTTTTATCCATTCACTCTTACCATTTTTTATAACTGTCAGATTAATACTTAAGTGAAGATACGTGAAACTTATCCTGATGCTCATAACTCTGTTCTTACTAGCTATGCTACTGGAGTTTTCAGTAAGTAGTCCTGTGAGCAGTAAAACAAAATTCCTAGTGAAATGTAGAATTTATTTGTTCTTATTGGAAATTTCATCTTGCTACATCAGCACTGCTTTGCAGCTATCACTTCACTGAGTTCTTATGTGCACTGCATACATTCAGGTTCTGGTAAAGCAGATTGTAAGTCACTGCTTGTGGTCAGATTTAGTTTCTTTTAGTTCCCACTGAAAGAAAAACTGATTCAACTCTTCTGTGGTCAGTGACACAAATAATATATCTATGTGTCAAGGCATGTTTGAAATGCTCTGTAAACATAACACACCAGTAACTATTGGACTTCTCTAGTCGTAAGAAATAAATGCTTCTGTAAAACCAAAATGTCAGTCACAGTAGACCAAATAGTGGTATAAACTCCAAAGGAAATAATGTAGTTTTCCCAAAAATGGGGCTAGCATTTCTTACACAGTAGTTTCAAACACTACCTCAGGCTAGAGTAGAAGAGATTTGTTTTAATAGCTAGATGGGGTTACAGCAAACAACTCCATGTTATTTTTCTGCAGTTAAAGCAAAATAAACAAGTTTTATCACCTGTATTTAAAAAACCACCTTTGTTCATTTGTTACCAGTTTAACTCATAGCACTTAATGTAGAAAGCGCCAGAGGAAGGCCTCTGATTATAAAATGGTAAGCAAAAGCGATGTCAACATACTTTTTGAAAGAATCTCCATCCTGAAATGGTTTGTGTTCTGAAGTACTCATTTGTGTGGGGATCCATGACAACAGAAACTTGACGTACAAATTACGGCTGCAAATTCAGTTATGAAATGTGATTTATTTTTTTTTCTGAAAGTGTATGAGTGTCAGTAGATTTCAACAAGTATGCATCAAGGATGTAAAGTCTGTACTGTACATAACATACAACATTTCTAGAATTAATTTACATATTTACATTAAGCTCACATTAATGTTTGATTTTAATTGGCAAATGAAGGGATACTGTTATTGAAGGAATTTGATATTGGCCTAGTTATAAACTGTGAATTTCTGATTCTATAGTTATCTTCTTTAAAATGTCCCTTTCAGAGTTCTTACTTTGGGGTTTTCTTTGCTTCATGATAAAACTTCAAAACAAAACAGTAGTAAATAAAAATTGTGCTTATGTTAACCCTAATAAAGAATCCTTCCACTTCTCCTAGAAGGGTTTGCAAGGGAAGCTGACAGACCACTGGCTTTGTATTTTTCCAATCCAAATGATTGGTGATACTGTCAAATAAATGGTAAAGCACATAGTCTTTACTTACACTATATACAAATACAGTTTGGTTGCTGTGGCAAAGAAAACTTTTGGATGATTCAACATGCTAACACCGAATATGCAGCTCTGAGGCAAAAGCCTTTGTGGGAAGGAGAGGCTGGCTGTGAAACCAATCGCATTTAGTCTACTACACTAGCTGGCTAATTTTCTTAGTCTCCTTTGACAGTCAGTGGAAAGGAACAGCCCTTTCGAAGGGCAGAGAGCTAATTAAGGGGCTCCCTGTTACTTCCCCAAGGGCCTGTTTCCCTCCACTGAGTAGGGAGGAGGACAAAGCTGGGTGCTGTGAGCATGATTTTGGAGAGAGAGGGACCTTTTCAGCTGTCTGAAATTCAGAGATGCAGAATGCTCCCAGCTGTGGGGGACATCACTTGGAGCTGGAGATGGTCAGGCTTTGAGGTGCTTAACTTCTATGTTCGGCCCCTGACATGTTGTGTGTGAAACAGTCACTTTTCCTCATCTGACAGTTCTTATTTAACCTGACCTACATACCCTAAATGTGTGTTTTGCTGGTGTTTTTTCCCAAGACACAATGAAGTGCTAAAGTATTTGGTAGTTTAGGGCGCAGTGGCTTGGCACATTGAGTCTGCCCTTGTAAACATTTTTAAAAGGCAGCAATGAGAATCCTGCTTGGGTTTTTTGTCATTTTATTTTGAAACACATGTAGTGGTCCTGAATGAGAGTTGTAATTTGCAGTGAGATTGGAAAAAAACCTATAGCACCTTTAGTAGGTGCCTGAAGAGAAAGGTAACTATTTGAGAAATAGACAATAATGAAAGTTTAGAGAGAGGAACGAGTTGTTGCTGCTTCTTAGTCTGCATCCTGGACTTGGTATTTGGCTTTTTGGACTGCAGGAAGCTGGCGTTACCTTGTAAGTGAACGTGAGCACAGGCTGAGCGATGGCAGTGGAAGAATTCTTGCCAGGCTTCAGAGCACCTCTGTGGTTTGTGGTCGCCTCCCAGCAGGGCTGCACAAAAATCCTGTTACTCAGAGCTTCACTGAAGTCAGTTGAAAGCAGGTCCTTTTTTTTAAGTTACACTTCTATTATGCTTATTAAAGGTATACTAGGTGAGAGTAAAATCTGAAAACTGCAAAAGACCTTTGGGAACATGCTAGAAACCATGTTTGCATTTCACTAGAAACCCCCCATGTCCTTGTTTTTTGTTTAACTCCTGATTCTGGTTCCCTGCGTAGTTTTGTTTGCAGCAGATTTGTGTGTTCAGTAAAGAATGTGGATTTTCTTTGGACTATTTTTGTAACGTGGATGGATAGCAGTGCCACAGCATGCAGAAATTGCACATTTTGCTTTATTTGCTTTGTAAAATACACTATTTTATTTGAGAAATGTAATTTATGCCAAAAAGTGTAATATGACATTTTGCCAATGAATAGGGCGTTCTAGCGCAAGATGCAATGTCTAAGGTGGGAAAAGGCAGACATTTTGTAGATAATTGAAAAATTGTTCCAGTACTGGGCTGTCAGCATCGCTAAAACTGCATTACAAGAGATTATCTAAATTAATCATTCTGAGGAGGGAAGGGATCAAGGAAAATCTAAAGACTTATTGTCCCTGTCCCATGTGGTCTTTTTTTTTTTTTTAGTAATACGCTGCTACATATTTGGAGGTTCTAGTGTTTGTAGGTCACTGAACAGACATTGAAATCTGATTTATATTGTATACCTGTAACATAGAAAGAAAAAGTATTTATATATTTTCCGTAAGACTATTGCATTGAGCTGTGTATAATTTAAACAGAGGCTTGTCCCAAAATGGTATTGCCCACCTTGATTTTTTTTTTGGTGTGGTTTTTTTTTTTGTATAGTGTGTACAGTTCATGTCAATGGGCATTAAAAGCCTCCTGAAGCATAGTCTTATCAAAGGGATGCATTGTTAATAAAATGTACTTAAACTTTTTATAGTTGTTCTGGTCTCATATGTACCTCTCAGCGCTAGAAATGGGTTGGAATTTTATTTATATTTGTAAGTTACTAATTAACTAGAACAACCTGACGCTTTCCAAATAAACATTTTTTTCTGAAAAATTTATTTTACATTACTGCTTTGTAATATGTCTTGTAAAAATACAAGGGGACTCTTTAATAGTTTGTACACCATTTTTATTTTTAAAATTACATACTGATACTGAGAATTAATAATTTTCCATTATGTGATAGCTTAAGTATTAGCATTTCAACAACAGCTGTGAAAATTGACTTAAAAAAAAAAAAAAGTTTCCAGTTCTTAGTTCATTCAGCCATTAATGCAAGACAGAAGTCTTAAATACAAAAATACACGCCTCCCCACCCATGCAGGACTGTACCCTTCAGCTGGTATGAAGGCATTATCCTCCTTGGAATTCTCTGTATGCTTTTAAGCACAGGTGGTTTCATAAACCACCACCCAGCAGGGCCAGCATTTATCGGTAGAGAGGAGCTAATTTCTTACTGCCTTGCCAAGCAATCTTGTACCCGGCAAAGCATTTCCTTGCTTCCAGATAATGAACTTTATCACTGCAGGATCTCCCCTCAGGGCAGACCAAAGGAGCTGAGGTGGGAACTCTCAACAGGCCCCTCCGTGTGTCTCACCGCACCATCAGGAAGGCCCAGCTGGCTACATCGCCATCACCACCACCACCCCCCCCCTCCCCCTCTGCTCACTCCCTGCACTGAAGTACTGCAGCCAAGCCCCAGTGATAGCAGCTTTTTCAAAAGCAGGAATTTGTGCATTGTTACAGCTCTGTTCTGGCATGAGGAACTGCAGCATGTTGAAATTCAAAATGTTTTGTGGGATAGTCTTGACTTGTTTTGACTGACTTCTGTATCAGAATTCATTAGATGTGTAACTCTTGATTGAGGATACCTTTCAAACCTTTTTAAATAAACAGGCCTTGCTTTGAAATGCACAGCTAGGAAGTTTTATTTCAGTAGTGGCAAAAAAAACTCCCTTCTGTTGGCCTTTTTTCCAGCAGTAAAGCTTTTAAACTGCCCAAGTACATATGCTATGAAACACTTTTGAGGAAGGAAATGTTTGGAGCTGTAAAGGTACTGGTAGTATGAAACTTTCAAATTCACTGTAACTCAAAGGAGAGTAATGAAAAGGGAGGAAAAGTTTCCCTGGGAGGTCTCCAATGAATAGCATCAGCCTCCTCTCACTTCCCTGTTCTCAGACTGCACTTCAGCTAAACGTGACCAGCCATGTTTCCCTACTCTGCTCTCTGAAGGCTGAAAGCAAGGACTATACTGCCTTTTTTTTTTTCCTGCTTCTCCAGTAAATCAGCGTGTGACCTACAGGTGGTCACAGCACAGGGTGCGCTCACGGGATACCGCTAACCCCAGTTAGCTGTCTGTGTGTTTGCACCGCACTTCTTTGCCTGCCTGAAGACTTCACCCTCTGTTTGCAGTCAGTGCTTGTTTCTGCCAAAGTCTACATAAGGTCTTACTGGTTTTCCTGTGGCAACACAGCTCATGGACATTACAACAGGATCTGTAAGCAATGGTATGAAACCTAAATGTGGTTCAGTATCAAAACTCATTTCTGTTTGCAGCTGCCTAGTTTTTAGGAAGTGCGATTAGCTAGTTCAACATAGGAAAGAAAAGTAACTGCATTTTAACAAATTAGCTGAAGATCAACTTGTAAAAAACATTTTTTCCCTTTTGAGACCTGCTTAAGTCGAATTCTTTTATTTGTGAAAGGCTCCAGACAGCATCATAATTAGGCAAAACCAAAAGATTCCTTGCACACTGAAGAGGTTAATCTGATAAGACTTACTTTCAGATACAATTTCAACTATTCTGCTTCATTACAAATGTAATGTAATTAAAATCAAAGCGGAAGATCAAATTCACTGCTGCCTACTGTAGGGATTCTAATCGTTACAATACCCCCCCCCTTTTTTTTTCTTTAATACATGCAAAAGTAGTGTTGGAAGATCTAGCTATATGCAGCCTGAACATGATGTTCACAAATGGGATGCATACACCTATGCATCCCACTACCCTGCCTGCTTACCTGGTTGGTTGGGGCTTGCTACTCTAGTGCAGGGGTTAAATGCCAAAAGAAGTTAGGTTGATGTGCACAAGCAGAGAGACAGTGCCATGGTAACACCTCTACAAACAGCTGTCAGGCTAGAGAGACAGTTCCTTTCCACTGAACTCCCTACATTTCTTTGTTCAGTTAAGAGGATTTTGTTTAGGGTTTTAAAGGGTCACCCTTCCAGGTAAAGAAGGCAGAAGTATGAGGAGCCCCAGCTACCAGAAATGGGAGCAGCAGTGCACTAACAGGGGCCTGCCCTACAAAAACCTGTTTTCTGTGCTTTTTCACCCACCAAGTGTGATTAGAAGACAGGCGAAGTAACAGCAGGATGATAATGGGATTTTTGGTGCACAGCGTAGCACTCCTAGAGAAGTCAAATTTCCTTCTAATCTTTCAGTAATGTGCCACACCGAATGCCGGTAACCCTTCTGGAGCATGTAGTAAGTGCACAAAGAACACTGCAAGTGAGACTCCCTGAGCACAATCACCTACCTGCTTCATTTAACTTGCTCCTATGCTTTCTAAATAAATTTTTAATCTCTGCAAAATATTGCAGTTTGCTGTATCAGGCTATGAGAAACCACTATGATCTAACCTTCTGTGCAGTACAGGCCACAAAACAGCCTGTAAATCTTACATAATGCCCGTAACTCCTGATGAAATCACAGAACACATCATTCCTATGCACAAGTCAGTATTTTTAAACTAGGCCTGAAGCAAGAGTTTTGCAGTGTTAACAAAAATAAGGCTTACAGTTGGGCTTGTGAAAGCCTTCATCAAAAGAACTTGAGGTTTTAGAAATTCTTATCTATATTGTGTAACCAGACACTGGATGGATTTAATGGGAGGAGAGTACTTCAAAGCCTCCTCCCTAGGCAGTGCACATCTGTTTGTGAAATACATCTCAGACTGGTCTTTCTGCCAGTTGTTTCTCTGGATGTTGAGGCAGCATTTTCATTAAAAATACCAAAGTAATAGTGTGGTTGGTATAGCACTACTGACAGTTCTGGCTTGCTTGCTTCCAGTGTCTCCGGTATTTGATAGGGATCAGGTTCAACTGCAGGATGAGAAGAATAAGCAAAATTTTCAAACCAAGTATGAGTCTGAGGTGTAGGTGTGGTTGTAAAGTCTCTCTCTTCATTTTTGTTAGGGTATATCCAGGAAGAATTGTGACCATCAATCTTATCTTCTGTTGGCATTGAAGACAGCTGGCTCCATGGATGTAATTTCTGGACTTCAGCCTTACTGTCCACTGCTAGTATGTCAGGAATGCAGTCACTTATTTTCAATACTTTCTCAGAACCTTTCTACAAGAGAATCATAAAACAAAAAAAATTACTCAATGAAAGAAGCCCAGAGTAAAGGAAAAGGAGTGATTACTTCAAGCGCTTCTGATACTGTCAGATATTGTCTTCTAATATTTTTTTGTTTGGATTTTTCAAATAAAGGGACAGAATTTGCAGGAAAACATGGACAGAATGTTCAATGAAAGCTGTATTTTATGTAGAATTCATCAGAGTATTTACTCAGAGATTTCTTTTTAAAGTAAGTTCAATATGACTACATTTGAAGAAGGAACCCTATCCCTCTACTTTAAAGACTTCGCCAGGTTTTTGATGCATGCAGTTTTCAGTCTGAAGCACTGGCAACCAGAAGGCAGCAGCACGGACTGTTCGGTTGTACAGACCTCCC